TGGTAAAGATGAATGGAAAATTTCCTATGATGTGATTGCAAAAAAAAGTAATTTTTTCTCATTTTAGACTGGAATAGTTGCAGGTGGATTTTAATATGATTTGCTAACACTGTTACATGGTCTCTTCATTTTCCAAAACTACTTAGTAATAACCATATGTCCAGGGATTTAATTCAATGACAATTTCTTTTGCAGGATTGTTGAGAACAAAATCTTTAAGCAAGACTGGAGATCTAGGAAACGGATTCACATTTTTCAGTATCTTTTTCTCAAATGGACAATTGCCCTTCTAATTGGAATAAGCACTGGTCTTGTTGGTTTCTTGAATAACCTGGCAGTCGAGAATATTGCTGGTTACAAGCTTTTCCTCACTGGCAATCTGATGCTTAAGGATAAGTAAGCCCAATTTTTACTAGATACATAATACTCTAGATTCATATCAAATTCAATGAATATTCTGATTAATTGCACAGAGCCTTTGGTTCTTGATGCAAATTTATCGGCATCATCACATTCTGATTACTTTTCTGTAATACTGGCTTTCTTATATCTTTGAATATTGGGTTCATAACACTAATATGTGCGAATTTTAATGTGATATCCTATAATCATGTCTTCTAACAGCTGCTACAAACCTTACAGTGCCCGTTCTGCTGTGCACCCTACCCAATGTTTGGTGTTTGCTTTGTTGTAATGAAATACCTTGATATGGAAAGTGACACTGCATTGGCACTTATAAGGTTGAGCTGTATAATAATCTTTTTATGTACTGAGCCATAATTTTCAAGAAACTATTTATAAATGGGGGCAGAAGTGGAAATGAAACTTTTTGAATTAGGTGGGAAACATGTTGGAAAGGATTAAGTCTTTCAAAGTGAATAATTACATTTGACATAAGTAGAACTTATCAACAAATCTTTAGAATGTTTTAGAAATATTCTGGAATGTTTAAAATAACTTTAATAGGCTTATGTATAGATGTCATTTACCTTGTTTTCTCTTTCACTTTATTGCTCTGATCATAATTGGCAGGAAAATTGATTTCCTAGTACTTCAATTAAATCTCTCTCTTGTATGGTATTTCATAATTGGTTGATAAGAATGAACTATTTTTATCCCAGTGCAGGTATTATCAGGCATTTGCAGCATTTGCCGGACTGAATATGATTCTTGCTTTTGTGCTGCGGCACTGTGCGCATTCATTGCCCCTGCGGCCGCTGGGTCTGGCATACCTGAGGTGAAAGCATATCTGAATGGTGTAGATGCTCATTCCATTTTAGCTCCGAGTACTCTTTTTGTCAAGGTGGGTAACATCTTTTCTAGCATTCTTTCCAATTCCCAGCATAGCATTTCACATTCCCTACACGTGCACACGCCTTCCCTTCTTAATTTATTAATGATATGCTAAATGAAATGAGAAGAAAGTTATGAATAGTTTCTAGTCCATAAAAGTTATAGATGTTTCGAGAGAGACGGGTTGTTTAGCAGCTGCACCTAAGACAATTATGAATTCAGAAAGGAAGCCATTGGCTTCTAAAAATAGTTGAAACTGGACTGTGGTCCGTACTCATACCATATCTAGGAACAGTGTTCTAAAATGCGTAATGCGTTGCGAAGCGTTGAGGTCGAGAATCAAGAATCACAAGTTTAGGCGTGTCAATGCGAAGAATAAGCGCCATAATGCGTTTCGTATTTTTAAGGCATTAAATATATTTTTA